TGCCTGGGTTGCGTACGTATATGTGGGGCGGAGCTATCAAAATAGGGGCAAGACCCTTTTGGGGTAGGGGCGTGTTTGTTTTGGTGATTTCAAATATCAACATTGGCTACCAGAAATCACTTACTCTGCCTTTAAGGGAGTCAATAAGAGTGACAGAAAGAACACAGACTATATAAACATTTAATATATATTCCATGTATTCACTTATAATTGTTTTAAATGCATTAATACCACCCATTTTTATTAAGAGGTGGTTAACATTAAAACAAGACATCAAATTTAATATGCCCTTACCTTAGGTATTCCAAAGTATCGATATTATGTTACTAAAATTAAGTAATCTAACGAAATACATTACAAAATACTTTTTAAAGCATGTATTTTGTAATCTGTAAAATTCACTTACTCTGCCTTTAAGGGAGTCAATAAGAGTGACAGAAAGAACACAAACTATATAAACATTTAATATATATTCCATGTATTCACTTATAATTGTTTTAAATGCATTAATACCACCCATTTTTATTAAGAGGTGGTTAACATTAAAACAAGACATCAAATTTAATATGCCCTTACCTTAGGTATTCCAAAGTATCGATATTATGTTACTAAAATTAAGTAATCTAACGAAATACATTACAAAATACTTTTTAAAGCATGTATTTTGTAATCTGTAAAATTTAAAAGTAACATTCCCTTTAAAAGTGTGTTTTCTCATTGCATTTAAACTATTTTGACCATCATGTGCGGTAAATCGAGCGCTTCGAAACACTGAATCATTACCGATATAAAGTTGGTTCGACGTTTGACATTTGTCAGATTCAGCCTTGGAAATCTTCAATAGTTCTTTAACGATTTAGCACAAGGACAAGAAACATACTGTGTTCTAATTGTTTTCAAATGTAGAAGAGAACACACAATGTGTTTTATTTGTTTAAATCTGCCTTAAGGTATTGTCACTGATAGACCTTATAATGTAAAAGTGCAGGATAGGGACCGTCTGCAAAGTGCAAAGCGAAGAGCAAAAAGCACAATTATTACATCTAAATGCTTCACTTGTGAAATGTATAAAAAATACATCTCAGATCTAAGGGGTGTGTCTTATTACTGGTTCATAAAAGAACATGTAGATGTTGGTTTTATTCACAGAACTGTAAGACAACACATGATATTAAAATGTAAACAAATACATCAATTAATTTCCTATAAATGTACTCTTCTATCCCAATTTCTAAGGGTGTCTTGATACTTGTTCCTAAAAGAACACTTCATTGTTGATATTATTCACATAACTATAAGACAAAAAAACTTATTGAAATGTAAAAATTGAGAAAAAGCTTAAGATGTGCAGCACACCGCCCCCTAGAGGAACACATTGCAGTTGTTTTGACTAAGTGTAAAATTCAGAAATGTGAATAAATTAATTTAAAATACACAGAGTCTGACATTTCAACCACAAAGGGTGTGTCTTGTTGCTGGTTCATAGAACCACATTTTCTATGTCTCTTTTACTTTCATAATAAAATTTGGATACACGCTATTGAATCAAATTTAAACCTATTAACATATCATTTTTGTAAACATACAGCATTTTATTTCATCTTCAAAGGCTGTGTCTTGTTACTGGTTCATAGATTATAGTTAGATATCGGTTTAATTTGCAGAACTATAGCACACCACATGCTATTGAAATGTAAGCACATACATCAATTAATAAAAAAATACAAATACTCTTTTTATTTCAGCTTTATGGGGTGTGTCTTGTAATTGTTTCCTATAATGACATTTAGATGTTGGTTTTATTCACAAAAGTGTAACACAACAAAACTATTGAATTGTAAAAACTGAGAAAGAGCTCTGGAAGCTCGGTTTGCGTTTCCACTGCAGTTTAGTATTGCTTTAGAGCAGGGGTGGGCAAACTTGGCCCTTCCAGGCCACTTTCCTTCAGAGGTTAGCTCCAACCCTAATCAAACACACCTGAACCAGCTAATCATTGTCTTCAAGACTACTAGAAGGCTACAGGCAGGTGAGTCATATCAGCTGCCTGATATGTCAATAGTTAGAAATGGCCCTATAGTATGAAGTGTTTAATAAACAGCTGTTTTACTCAAATCTACTGAGGTGAAATTCAGTGCAGTCCCGTATCGTGATACGTATCGTATCGTGGCCTCTGTTACACAGCC